TCGGTGCTTTTCAGTGCTCAATTATAAAATTGACACCTTAGAAAAAAACTGTACACCACTCTTTGAAAAAGTTCACATGCCTTGATAAAGACTACACAGATGCCCATACAGCGCTGAAGACCAAATTCAAAGCCTTACGGGCGGGTGACTGGGCGCAGAGTGGGGTGGCGTTGGCTATAGCTTCGTATACGGTTGCTGGCCTATCAGCGGGAAATGTTTCGCCATCCGATGTCGCTGAAATTGTGCATGTAAGCCTGTGTGCTGAATGTTTTGTCAGCTGTATCGCAAGCGTAAGCCTCTGAACTCGTATATGTAGTTCATATGTTTCAACAGTCAGAGCGCTGTTTAGGTGTACAGTTGTACATCTGCACAGCCGATGTTGTGTGTTATCGATTCACGGGAAGTTAGTCATTTGAACCCCGTCGAGACGATACGGTCACCAGAAAGTGACTAAAACTTAGCTCCGCGATATGTGGCGGTATCGATGTATCGCTAATCACTCTCACACACTACAGGAACTTAATGAACTCTTCAGCCGCAGCGACGAACGCACACCCGCCATTGGCATTGCCTTGGGCAGCCTTCAGTACAACTGCAATGCTCTTGGTATAGACCTCCCAGCATCCCCACTGCAAACGCTGATTGACACATGCACAGCGGATATAGTTGGACAGCTCTCCGTGCAAAGCAAGATGAGTGCATGCGCGTGCCTCGCTGCGTTGCACGGTGTATCTGTCAGTGTCCATGGGACCCCGGATGGAGTCCACGTATGTTTTTATGTGCAGAAAAGTAGATGAAATTCGTGCTTCTAAGATGTACTCCTGTCGTAATAATTCCTATAGTACTGCAGACCCTCAATAGATCATGCAATTGTTTTATACCACGTTCAATAGTGACAGAAGTATGCGTATAACTATGAAGCTGATACTACGCTATGCTCTTCAGCGCGAAGTTGGTTTCGCACGCTTGGGAAATTCTACATAAAAAAAGTGTTTTCAGAAATTCTGTCGAGGCTCATGAGGGGCATTCGGTAGATACACAACTTATTTAACCGCCTGTCTTTATGTAGATATATCATATATCTCTAGCTCAATATCGACGCTCTAATCTTGAAAAAATACCTGGGATATATATACGGTTCGTACACGTGCGTGCCTCTTGCATTGCTTCCCGCGTAGCGTCGATAACTATTGCTATCTTATAAGCTAAACTTATCAACCTTATGTATCAGTGTATAATAGAGCATTGTTCAGTCCAACAGCTAAGTCTGCGAATTGAATTGTAACATATTGGCTCATAAAACAATTCTTCTATCTAAAATGCATGTACATAGGGGCAGCAACTGACGACAGCATCTGAGTTCTACACAAAGGCCATTGCCCCGTCTATCTCAACTCTGCAAGACCTGGTGCTTACCTGCGACGAGAAGAACCTCATGTGCTATGCCGGGCTAATCCTGGGTGCAGTTGCTGTCAACTTGGAGGCACACTCTACTTCCAGTCAAGGCACGAGAGGTGACGTACATGCCAACATGCGGTCACAGGCACACCACCCGGCAATCGTGGCCCGGAACGACGGGCAGTATCCGCAGGCGTTTGACTATCTCGCCAAAGAAAGTGCACTGAGGTGCGTGTACAATATCATGGTGGATGGGAGCCTCAGAGAAAATGACATGAGCGTGATGAACACGGTGAAGTTACTGAATTCTATGGATGTCCTGCCTCCCATTGATCTGACACCGGTCATTCAGTTTGTGCTGTCGTCGCCGGGTCTGAATTCGGTATATATGGACTGTGTTTGGCAAGTATATGTGTTAGGTCTACCAATTGCGAGATGCATCAGGATGGTTTCGATATTCACAGGCTTTTGTAATACTAGCATTGCTGCAAGCGTACTCGAACGCACTTAAGTTGTAAAAGATGTATGTGGGATTTCGCTTTTGCATATGCTCGGTAGATGAATAGCTATTCTATATTGCGGATGCTTTCTGTAGCTTTTCATCACGTCTGCGCCATATACATGTACATGAATATGGATGTATTTATGTGTGTATGTATGTGTGTTATACATGTATAGCATGTGTATGTTGCCTATATATTCATGCGTATATTCGTTTTATCACGCAGGTACAAGCTGAGGCAGTTTATAACGTCAACACAATATATATATATGTATGTATGTATGTATATATATATATATATATATATATATATATATATAATATGTGTGTGTGTGTGTGTGTGTGTGTGCATATATATATATATATATATGGTTATATATTTGTATATATGTATGTATGTAATGTATATATGTATAAATATTGTGTATATATATATGTATGTATATATATTTATATATATGTGAGTGTGTGTGTGTTTGTGTGTGTATGTATGTATCATCTTATATGTATAATTGCTTGTATGGGTATGAATGTATGTATGTGTATGTGTGCGTATGTGTGTATGTATGTATGTATTTTTGTATGTATACATAAATGAGTGTATGATTCAATTCAATTCAAATGCATATGTACACGAATTTGTCCTTCGCAGGTGCATGCTGAAGCCGTCTCGTTGCTACTACGCCACGCCTCACGGCCACCTTCCAACACCGAGCTGGCCCTATCCTTCATAGAGGCAGATACGTTCAAAGGTCTCCCTCAGGATGCGCAAATCATCGTATGTGAGAACATACACAAGGTACTTGAAACTGTCTCGAATGATTCTGAGCAGACCCTTACCGCCACGCTGGTAGCTCTGGTGTTATCGTCAACGAACTTGGAGCTGATGGGCGCTATACTTGTAGGCCTGGCAGCGTTGTGTGCGAATCATCAAGCACAGGCCCATGTGCATGCACAGGTATCACTGCTTAGACCCATACGTCCAATACATGTTATGAGGTGCACAGTTATGAGTCAAATTCTGTCGTGTGCATCGATTCCGCATGGTTGTGAGCTAACACATATTCTTTTCTGCCATTGCCGTCACTCAGTCATAAGTATTTGTTTTATCCTTTGTTCTATCAGATTTGATACATGTACATACATATATGTACATACATATATTTGTATATATATATATATATATATATA